TGAAAATATTGTGAACATTCAATATATCACCAGCTGTAGAAGCAGCTCAAGTCTTTGAGTGACGTGTTTCTGATGTTTCCACCGCTGCTCCTGTTCACATCCAAACCATAAAGCAGCGTAAGAATAATGAACAAACTGATTCATGAATTACTTCTCATTTGTTTTTCTTAAAGCGAACACAGGACTTGTCTTTATCAATCAGACAATGAATTGGAGAGACGCTCAGAGATACTGCAGACAGAATCACACTGATCTGGTCAGTGTGAGAAACCAGAATGAGAATCAACAGGCTAAGAAGATCATTAGTGGTAATCACTCATCTGGATCATTTGTCTGGATCGGTCTGTTCAGAGACTCATGGCAGTGGTCAGATCAGAGTAACACTTCATTCAGATACTGGAAGTCTGGTCAACCTGATAATAGAGACAGAGGTGATGACAAATATGCAGTGATCGAACTGAAAGCTAATGGACAATGGCATGACTTCTCTTGCACTTACCAGTTTCCTTTTGTGTGTCATGATGGTGAGTAGATCCTCACATAACACACACAATCCATCCATCACCTCCAGATCTCTTAAAGTTCACGCTACACGTCTGACATGACACATTCATCCACAGTGTTTGTTCTGCATGTTGTTTTTGATCAGTCTCTCTCTAGTTTCTGCTTGTGGTTTGTTTTGTGTCCAGATCCTGAACTGATTGTGATCAGAGAGAATCTGATGTGGTCTGAAGCTCTGAGATACTGCAGACAGAATCATGTGGATCTGGTCTCGGTTCATTCAGAAGAGATTCAGCGTCGTGTGATGAACGTGGTTAAACGGGCGTCTACTGCGGCGGTGTGGTTGGGTTTACACAACTACTGCATCATGAACATGTGGCTCTGGTTGAGTGGAGAGACTGTGTGCTATCAGAACTGGGCTCCAGGGAACGGAACTAAACCAGAAAACTGTAAACTCGAGAAGAGAAAAGGAGCAGTTCAGTCTGGAGGAGATCAGCGCTGGATCAGCCTTCCTGAAACTCACAAACTCAACTTCATCTGCAGCAGATATTAAGAGTGAAGGATATGTGAATTGTTTGTGTGTTTTCTTGTTCACTGTTTTCACATTTCATTATTTTTCTGATTTACTCATATATGATTTTTTTTTCTTTGATAGCTTCTGAGTGAATCTGATTACTGGGTTTTAAAAGTGTCCAAAAGTCTTGCTTAAGTCTCAAAATAATTATAATGACATAATATGATATTATCAAAGTTTTCTAACAACAATGTTTAATATTCTTTAATTGTTTAAAGGGGTCCTATTATGCTTTCTCACTTTTTAATTTTAGTCAGTGTGTAGTGTGTATGTTTGGGCATTAAAAAGTTCTAGAAAGTTACAAATCTCAAAGTCCACTCCAAAGGGAGATATTTAGTTTTTTAAAAATCCCTTTTCAAGAACTACAACGAACGGCTCGTTTGGACTACAGCATTTGTTTTCCGGGCTTTGTGATATCACAAAGCGGCTCATTAGAATTTTTTTACAAATAATACCCGCCTACAGAAATTGGAATGGTTGGGGGGTGGGGAGAGGCGAGGCTGTGGTTAAAACGCTTGGTTGAGTGACTGCATCAGACGAGATGATGGAGAAGAAGTGCTGCTGCAGAGTTAGTGCATCAGAGAAAACGAAGAAGAAGAGCTGCGGTGCTGTAGCATAACATTTTTGGCATGTCTAGAACAGCGGTTCTCAATTCCAGTCTTC